TCATGATGACTATGACAGCAACATTAAGCTGAACAGCTCCAATTGAAGTTTGGCTTTGAACTACAAACAATTTTGAAGTGGCCAGCTAAGATGATCAAGCCTCACAGACACTACTCAGAACAATTTCAATGTGGCTAGTTTAGGTAATCCAGACTCACAGATTAGAGTACTAGTCAGGACTAGAAACAAGCCCAGATGCCAAATGATACAGCTTGACAATTAACCCTTTTTTCAGGATCCCCTAAAGATCACCCCCAGACAGCATGAAGTAAATTTAAGAACATGATGCATATATCCCAAATTAAATTAGGTACAAGTCCTATCTTGGACTCATCAAGATAGGATAGATATTAGGGTTAGGGTTAGGGTCAATTGTTAATGAACTAGACATTTTTGATGTATTTATTGAATGTTTATGTTGCATATAGTTATTATACTTATTGTATACAGTTTTTCTTATATTTATTTTTAGACAAAAGGGGGAATTGTGATGATATCGTTTTTGTACAAATGAAGATCACAGGGTGGAGCTTGCCACTAGCTAACCACAGAGGTCTGAAGGTGTATACAAACAAACAGAAAGTGATATGGCTAGGAGTAGAAAGGAATATAGGCAGGAGGAAACAGGAACTCACTCTCTTTTCTTCTGGGAAGCTAGTGGGGTAAAGGTAGTTTTGGCTTGCTCCTTGTTCTCTCTGATCCCCCAGCATGTCCCCCTATATCTGTTTCTGGGCTTTTATTATTGAGACCTAGTAGAATTTTCGTTACCTCAATTATACATGTTTTCCCTAAGAAGATTGTCTCAGGGTCATGAATGGATGGGTTCCTATGTGGGATTATAGAAACATGCACACTGAGATTGAGTCAGTTTACATCACAAACAGCCTGTTATTATTCAGACAATAGATAAGCAAATTATAATCATACAATGATGTGACATAGAGGAGTTAAAATGACACAAATGGTCTAAGTACAACAACATGCAAGTACTAAGAATACATAGTATTAAGTACACAAAGCAAAGTTTGAAATTGTTTTTCTAAAATATCACAAAAATACTTAATATTTAAGCAAACATGTGTGGCAAATGCATAAATGCTGGAAAATAAATTCCAAGTTTCTTAGTTCCTGTTCTTTTGCTTTGAAGAGACTACAGGACCAAAGCATCTTATAAAAGAAAGTATGAAATGTGTGGATTTGCTTACAGCTTCAGAGGTTTAGTCCATGACCATCATAGAAGGAAACATGGCAGCAGGCAGGCAGACATAACACAGAAGCAGTAACTGATAGCTTCCATTTTATTCACAAGCAGGAGAAGCAGATAGAGACAGAGAGACAGAAACAGAGACAAAGGAGACTAGGCCTGGCATGTGCTTTGGAAAAGCCAGCCCCTAGTGACACACTTCTAATTAGCCCACACCTCCTAATCCTTCCTAAAACAGTCCACCCAGTGGAACCCAAACATTTAAATATATGAGCCTATGTATGTGGGGCATTCTCATTCAAACAACCATAGCAAGTAATAAAGTGAAATGTACTTTGGTGAGGAAAGAACTGAGATGGATTTTAAATGGGCCTTTCATATTAGTAAGAGCTAATCTATACTGTTCCTGAAGAACATACCCTATTGATATGTTGTACACCATGATGTTATATATGACTGTTGTATTATTGTTCTATAGTTTTTATTTTAACTACTCAGTAAGTTATTTACAACCTCAGGTCTATTTTTAAATGTTTATAATGAAAACAAGTCTTATACTTGTCTAGTCTTTTTAAATCAATTTGCTTCTCTCACACACTCTGCTCATTAGAGAGTGTCTTATGTAGTTGTGACTTATACAAGGGAATACGAAGACAGACACTAGCCTTCAGGTTCTCACAAAGATATGGGTTCTCATGGGGCCCTATTGTCAGAGCAAGAGGTTCTCAGGTTTCCTAAAAAGGTGACAGCCACTGAGTTTATCTATCCCAGAGCAAAGGAAATAAAGAAGTCTCTGGTGGTCTCAACTTTCTCCTGTTTCTTTTTCTTCTCTTTTCAGAATCTCCTTATGAAAGAATGCTACCCTTCCTTCCTTGGGCACTTTTTGTTTTATCTCTCCACTCACTTTTAGCTCAGTGTAGAATGTCATGTGCAATGCTGTAGGTTCAGTTCCCAGAACTGCATAAATGGTTCTGATATCAGCACTTGAGTAGTAGAGGCAGGTGGATCCAAAGTTCAAGGTCCTTCTAATTTGATGATAAGCTGTAATCTAATTTGATGACATCTGGGAATATGTGGGGTACATTTGTGGGTGGGAGGAGCAACCAACCCTGGCTTTATCATCAAAAACAAGTCCCCTTACTCCCTTTTAGTTCAAGGCCAGCCTGCTCTTCAGAGTGAGTTCAGAACAGCCAAGGCTACACAAAGAAACTCTGTCTTAAAAATATATTGCCTGAGTAAGTAGGTAGTGCAAGCAAGCAGCTTCCAAAAAATATGAGAAATGACAGAAACAGTTGGCTGCCTGAAGAATCAACCAAGGTTCCTCTGAAACATTTGAGCATCCATCTTCAGGCTATCGGCTTAGACTATCTTACAGACTTTACAGTGAAGCAGGAAAATCTGAAGGGCTGATCTATCTCATCTTGGAAAATTTTGGCAGTCACTTTCTTTTGTGTCCTGCTTCTCCAATTTGGACAGCAAACTGTCAGCAGTGTCTTGTCTTGCCCAGTGGCTAACTTTTGCTTAAAAGAAAGTAAACTCCATATGGAGTTTCTTCAATGCACATCATGTTCTCTGGAGTAGATTGGTGCTGCCAGGAGCAAATAAGTTTCAATATCATTTTTAAAAAGGTAAAGTAAAAAGAACCTTCTCATGTAATTGAGGATTTCCTGTCATCCTAAAAATATCTATCCTTGAAAACATACTTAACAAGTACTCTGTAACATTTGAGCATCCATCTTCAGGCTATCGGCTTAGACTATCTTACAGACTTTACAGTGAAGCAGGAAAATCTGAAGGGCTGATCTATCTCATCTTGGAAAATTTTGGCAGTCACTTTCTTTTGTGTCCTGCTTCTCCAATTTGGACAGCAAACTGTCAGCAGTGTCTTGTCTTGCCCAGTGGCTAACTTTTGCTTAAAAGAAAGTAAACTCCATATGGAGTTTCTTCAATGCACATCATGTTCTCTGGAGTAGATTGGTGCTGCCAGGAGCAAATAAGTTTCAATATCATTTTTAAAAAGGTAAAGTAAAAAGAACCTTCTCATGTAATTGAGGATTTCCTGTCATCCTAAAAATATCTATCCTTGAAAACATACTTAACATGACTACAAGTTTGATTGTAATAGTTGATTAACCACTAACATTTCTTTACTATCCTAAATAGTTTATAACAATAGCTTCCAAGGACTAGAAATTGCATTACATTGTGGTGATATATTATTTATGATTTAGTAAAGCTTGCTTGAGGGTACAGGATTCAAAGCCAGCCATAGGCTATAGAGGTGATACACAACTTTACTCCCAGCAGTCATACTAGCTACCCATAGAAGCTAAACCTTAGTGGAGCACACCTTTAATACCATGACTCATCAGAGGCAGATGGATACTTCTGAGTTCAAGGCCACTCTGGCCAACACAAGAGTGAATCAGTCTAAAAAAGAATCAGAGCTCATAACTTTAATCCTAGCCCTAGAGAAGTATATGAAAGACAGGAGCCCAGTATTTCAGGCTGCATTCTGATACCTACTCAATGACCAAAAACCAGACACCCCAACTCTTGGGAATGTGAGCAATATGTTTTTAAAATTACTTTTTTATGTCAGTGTCAGGGAGTAACAGCACTTTTAGGGGATCCTGAGAAAATGGGATAATTGTCAAGCCCTGGGAGAACTAGCTGTATCATTTGTTGTCCAGTCTCTGTGTGATGGGAAAGTACATGGCTTATCTCAAGTCGTGGCTAGAGTGTTATGTAAGTCTAGACCATCTCAGATAGCCACCTGAAGTTGTCCTGAGCAGCTTATGGTTGAAAGCCAATTTTTGATGGTGTGTTTTGGCTTAGTGGCATTACTACAATCCAGGTGGAATTGTTTTTGTGGGGGGCCCCATCCTCCTTTTGGAGACTTCAAAGGTCACTATTAGGCATAATCATGGGTCACTGTAGAAAACTTAAAACATTTTAAGTGTCAAATGCAGCAGATCTCAAAGACATTAAAGGCCCATAATTTGTTAGATACATCCAGAGTATAGAAAAATTAACTCCTAGTTAGCCTGATGGAGACTCAAACCTGAAATCATGTAAAGGAACCAAAATGAAGTCTTTTTCTAGAATTAGTTACTACTCTATATGACCATTAATGTCATATATATATATGGGATAATTGTCAAGCCCTGGGAGAACTAGCTGTATCATTTGTTGTCCAGTCTCTGTGTGATGGGAAAGTACATGGCTTATCTCAAGTCATGGCTAGAGTGTTATGTAAGTCTAGACCATCTCAGATAGCCACCTGAAGTTGTCCTGAGCAGCTTATGGTTGAAAGCCAATTTTTGATGGTGTTTTGGCTTAGTGACATTACTACAATTCCACCCGGATTTAATTTATTAAATTAATATATATTAATGTAGTAATATATATGTGTGTGTGTGTGTGTGTGTGTGTGTGTGTGTGTGTGCATGTGCATCCAGGCGCATGCATATCTTATAAATTTTGAGATAATATACCATAAGAAGAAGTTTAAGGAGTGAAAATAAAACAAAGGAACTATGAGGTTAGTTTCAATAGAACAGTCTCTTAGTTTTAATTTTTCTTCTGTCCAACATCAGGTGAGTCTTCTGATATGAAACAGAGATTTTGGATTTTCCTTTTAACAAGCATGCTTGGGTTTAGAGAAGGAGAGAGCCATGCTTCAACTCCATAGCCAGCTTTAATTTTTAAATTAACTGGGACTACAGAAAAGTCCATTTGCATTATATGTCTGTAGAGAACAGAAGAAACAAAGATTTGGGGAAATAGGATCTACCTGTTGGAACTGTGTCTTGGGACATTTTTCTGGATTACTCATCCTTTTTCTTCAGATGTCGTATTGTCCAGTGTTCTTCAGATTCCTTAGTTGGATGTCTTCATTTTCCTGGAAAGATAAAAATAAAACCCTTCCCCAACCCTAACTTCAGGTTGTTTCCCTTTTGGTAAGTTACATCTGACCAAAAAAAAAAGCATTTGTTCGTTTTATAAGTTAGTTTAGAATGAATGGTCTTGCTGTTTGATGAACTATTACATCTTCTAGTTAAGAGTTCTCTCTTGTTTAAATCTAATCTTTATAACATTTTCTTTATGGTTCCTCCTAAAATTTTTGTTTTATCTTCTAAAGCTTTTTCAATCCTCCAGAACAGTATGGTTTCTGTTTTTGCTTTACAATAGTCATTAGATTCTTTAATTGCCCTGGGGAGCAATTTCCCTCATGATGACAGAGAATGACTGAACCAAATTTGACATGGAAGCCTATGAGAGAGCACTCCAAGGTGTTTTCCAATGCATAAGGGTTACCTTGTTTGTCCCTTGTTGATTTATATTCATTGGTCCAATGTTAACTTTTGCTGCACCTTCTGCATACTCCATAAAGCAAGGGTCTTATGTTTGGATTAGAAGAAACTTGTTTCTAGGAATTCCATATCTACAATACTTTTTTAGGTAAAACACCTAACATTTTGATTTTTTTCTCAAACCTCTGGGAATCATCTCTCCTATTCAAGAATTATCATTGTTATGAGATTCAATATTTATAATTTAATATTATAATAATATGATATGATTGTTATAAATAATAATATTTATAATATTAAATATCATATTTATAATATGTCAATATTTATAATATAAGTGCTTATCTTGCATTTAAAAGTCTAATTACCCTTTAGAATTGTGGATTAGCACTTTTAAAAGTCAAAGATTAAATTATTATTTGTCTAGCTTTTAAATTTGGCTTCATTATTTTTACAATTGAAGTCAATCTTTGTAAAAATTCAGTGATGATTTCATTGGGGTCCCTTATAACTTTAGTAAATGACTCAGTTCTCTTTCCACCTTCTTCAGTTCTGTCCCAAGCATTCAAATCTGCTTTGTGGCATACAGGCAAGGTGTGATCAACACATAGAGACTGATTTTGTACACCAGCATGATTTCCCTCTCCAAGATGTTTGTCTCAGAAAATATCAATACCTCTAGTGCCACTCTGCTGTTCAATGGTCTTAGCCTCATCTTTCTGTCAGGTCCTCCACTTCAATTGAGGACCAGGCTCAAATACTGTTATAACCAAGTCTTGCCTGTCTTGTGGGACAATTCCATTACTAGTTGACCATGAATTTAACAACTGATTCACAGAAGATGAATGCATAACACGTGAGATTATCACTTCCCTAAATCTCCTTCCTCAAAGCTAACATTTCCACAGGAATCCAGTCAGCTTTTATACAGCCTTAGGAATATCTGTCATTTGTCAGTTGTTCCTATATTATGATTAGATAAATTAAGGTTAGGCTATTCCTCTCTAACTTTACAATGTAATGCTGAGACTGGTTTTCCTTCAAAGGCCTATGTCTTTGTCTGAATATATCATAAGGCATGATACTTATCAGTCAAAGTGCATTATTTTCTCTCATAACATTTTCTAAGGCCTGTCTATATCTTGACACTCATACCAACTAAGTTGACATGAATATCAACCAACATTTTTAGGGATAGAACAAGAATTATCAAACTTATAATGTTTATAATTGACATTATGAAAATCCCATTTAACTTAATTATCCCCTCATTTAATAGTTCTATTTTTAAACCACCTATTGTGTAATCATACAAAGACCTAAATCCCTCCATCATAATATAGTTTCTCATTTTGTAATGTGGGAAAAAAATCTGTTTTTCTTTTTAAAACTAATTCCCACCTTTATGAATTTCTAATTGTCTCACCAAATCCACTGATGATGATGGTGAAGTATGAGCTGCATAACACATTTGGATGGAAAACGCAGGCAGTGCACAGCTGGCTGAGGATAGCTGCCATTGCTAGAATGCATCTGTGAGCTCTTTAGATTCTCCAACCAAAAGGGATGAGATCCTGTCTCCACCTGACCTTACCACTTCCTTTATCCATCTCCAGGGTGCTGGGATTAAAGGCGTTAGCCACCAATACCCAGCTTATGTAGTTAACTAGTGGATAATCTGTCTCAGTCCCACCTTTCTACTTCCTGTCCCCTCTTTACAGTCTTCCAAACCTCTATGGTTAACTAGTGACTAGTTCTGCCCTCTGACTCCAAGCAAACTTTATTTGTCAGAACACAAACAATCTATCACACAACACCCAACCCAAGGGGGAGGTGCTTAGTCTTACTGCAACTTGATATGTCATGCTTTATGGATACCCAAGGTAGGCTTGCACTTTTCTGAAGAGAAATGGAGGAAGAGTTGATGGGGTGGCAGAGGGGAGGTGGGGGTGGACTGAGAGGAGAAGAGAGGAAACTGTGGTCAGATTGTAAAATAAATAAATAAATAACAGACGTCACCCTATGCCTCCATGATACTGTGCTAATTTGAAGAAAAGTTAGAAAAAAACAATTTCAAGTTCCTTTCAACTTTTTATTTTATGATTCTGTATTGCTTGGAATCAATGAGTATGGCTGATAGAAAGATATACATACAGA